TTCGTACGTTTTTTCCTCGTATATTTCTTTCCGTTTCTTTCTTTTTTTTTTTACAAATTTCAGTTTCAATTCGCTTGCGAGCTTCTGCTTTTGAAACTGCTTCACTCTGTACGTAACAGCTTCGTTAACTGTGTTACATAGCTACGCTGTTAGTAGGTTCCGTACTCCTAGTAGCATTCGCCTTTCTTTTCTATCTCGATACATATTCGTAGGCAAACGCTCGCCCACGCTGCTCTGCCTGCGCCCGCGAACTCTCTCTCTCTCTCTTTCTCTCTCTCTCTCTCTCCTCTCTTCAGGGAAAAGTTGCAAAGTGTCCTCAGATATACTCGACAAAGCGCGACCGTCGTTCTATGCATCGTTACGATGCTACCCCGAGAACGTGCTTCCCGGATTAGGGCTCTAGAACGCGATTTGAGTGGATCAGCTGATTTGAAAAAGTACAGTTTGAATAACAAGACCTTGAAGTATTTACAAACTGTTAAATAAAAAGCATTTAAGAACGCAGTACAATATTTATGTTAAACAATGATATTTTTAAATCATGCATCCTTCTTAGGTTCTCAAAGTCTTTGATATTGAATAGATAAGTAGAAGATGTGTTAGAAGATTAATAGGTTTGCATGATGAGCAAACGTTGAGAAGCATCAAAAAGTTCTGCACTTGTTCAGGTTAAAAGTGCAATTCGATAGTGACAACTATTAAAGATAAAAACGGGGTATTTTTGTTATTATCAAGTGAGAAGGAAATATGGAGAATTAGGAGTTTGAAAGATTTGCGAATCGATGGTTACCGAGCGGGTTCGGAGAAGGTAGCACGACAAATTAGACGTCCAGTGCGCATCACGGCACGACTGCACTGCGCCTGGAGGAACGCCAAACGAAGCGAGGCTTGCTGCCGTGACAACTTCCGCCCGAAGTGACATCAACGCCACATTACAACGGAGTTACTTTCGAGCCCACTTTAATTAAAGTTGCATTCACGGATCCGAGTTTCGCATCAGAAACTACTTATGGCCACTACACGGGCCACCCAATTAATATAACGACAAGCAGCTTCGTTCGGCGGAAGCCACGAGGAACGCTGCGCCGCTGTGTAGATAGCGGTTGAAACTGTGCGCGGAGGCTCGTTGAAAAGTGGACGATGATGCCGGGAATATCGAAATGCAACGCGCGTTGTTTACGACCGAGCGCCGCTTCGAGGGTTGAACTTTCCGCGGGAGCGCGGTAGAAAAAAAAGAAAGAAGCTCGACCGCTCGGGGGAAAGGTCACATGTTGGATACGCGTTATTCGTTGAACTTTTTTGCGTCCGTTCCGTATGATTCAGTACAACAATTTAGCATTGTAAATTATGAACACACGATGTGTCGGAGCGTGCGGCAAATTCGGGAGGGAAAGCAATTTAGTTGATTGTTTTGTTAAACAACAAGAAATTGTAAACTAAATTCGTAACTGGAATACTCCGGTGGTTTTCGATGAACGGGGAACGTCGAAACAAACTGCAATTTACTCTTCGTCCACTTTATGCATTTCCGTCTTCCGGCATCGCCCTTGAAACGGTTTCCGAGCATCGCGGTAGCATAAATCCGTACATTCATACGGCGTAAAAGTTTCCGCGCGTTGAAACGTCACGAAAATATCGTGGCTACGAATGCAGCGTCGATGACGGCAGTAAGCGTTGCCTCGGGTCGAAATCCTTCCAGCATCGCCGAAGTGAGTGTCAGCCATTATTGAAGCTGTAAAATGTCCAAGTTCTTCCCTAAAGTTCCTCGAATTTTCCACTTTCTACCTTTCTTCACCCCCTCGTTCTTCCCGTTCCCAACGAGATTTTACACCTAGAACGACGGCGAATATTTTCCCGAGCACATTTACAGCACCCATAAAATAGTAACATAGTCGAGAATATAGAACTCGAAATTCATAACTACAGTTATTATTTATTCCTCTGAAATTTCCATCATTTTTCTTATCGCGCCCTGAATCAAAAATCTACTAACCATCTCATCAGAGGAACCATTATCCCAAGAATTCAAACGCACTCGAGCATTTCCATGTAAGAAGACAAGGAAATGTTTCTGTATGTACATATATTACATGCATGTGAACATGTTGAGATAAGTTAAGATTAAGAAAACGTTATCACTGAATTCTTTCATCACGTGATTAGGACCTTACGATCAAACTAGAGTCTTAATCGATACTCTAGACGTGAAACTTTTTCAGCAGATTATTTGAGACATCGAAATGAACCGATCAATCTGATACGTAAAAATTTCCAACAACTTTCAGATCCTGCTGCATATCGTTCGAAACGAACGTCGAAGTTCGTTTAGATATAAGTATACATCTAGTATATAGATACGCGCAGTTAGGCCTAAGATTCTATTCGCAGTACAGAGTAGGCGTGCATGTCGCTTTAATAGCGTTTCGTAGCATGGTTGCACGTACTAGGGTAGTGTTGCCCGAGTAGTCATAGTCTATGTATAGAATACATATAATCACCATATATACACGGTCCATGCACCTTACCGCTTTCGCGTGTACACACGAATTACCCTCGCGTCGCGGAACTCCCCTACTGAGATCGACCACGTCGACAGGGATCCGACGCGAGTGAACCGTGTACCGACCGACATACAGCTCGCCTCGCCCGTGTAATTTCCAGTTGTATCGAATTACCCTATCGTATACGAAACTCTGAAATATAGTACAGATTTCAGCAGCCGAGTATAAACGGATAAAACGTGTGTACGCTGTTTGTTCGTCGTTCAAAAGCTTCCTGGGTAAAAGGCTCGATCTTTTTTTTATACACCTACTCTGTTCGATTTGCGAATGCGCACAGAAATATTTGGGAATTCTCAATAGTCCAGAGTTTTCAAATGTTTATCAGCTGTTGATTGATGAAACTTTTTTTAATTTATCAAATGAGATGCAAATGCGAGCAGTTTATAGCGCGATCAATACGTACGTCACTCGCCTTTGACAAACTTTTAATAGCGTCTTCGTTAGCCGGGGCGAAACTTTAACCGCGTTTAAATGTATTCACTTGTAATTACGTTTCGCCAGTAATAGGATGATCAAGAAACTTTGATCTCGAATAATACATCTAGCCATCGGGATCGACCGATTACGAAGCTGAGCTATTCACTCCGGCCACTTAAACTTTCTTTATCTAACGAATTATTCGATTTACGACGAGCGGCACGCTACAACGTTTGATGAATTCACGATGGACCTCTCTGACGGAATCGGCTCTCTTTCTACTCCTGCCGTTCTACGCTCCTTTTTATTCGGCGGGGCCGAGCGAAGTAATCGAAGTTTAAACGAAGATCCTTGAATATTTCAAAGCGTGTAACTTGTTCCGCGCGAGAATCCATTTCTGGACGTTTAAATAGCGGTATTTCCGCTCGGCGATCGACCGATTAAAACAAGCAATACCTATGGATATTAAACGTTTTCGCGCTCGAGCCGCTTTGTGCAGAATCGCGGCAGTTCGATCGCGCGCGCCAATTCCTTCGTCATGCGTAAAATTTTTGATTGTACGCTTCACAATCTTCCGTTCACCCGAATACGTTTAGCCGCGCCGCGAAACTCAATTGTCACGGATGAAAATTCGTCGCGTTTTATACAACTTTTAAGCTGCTTTTCATGCGCGACACAATTGTACGTTACAGCCAGTGTATTAATTCAATAGCGTACACAGTCAATGCATACACGTACTGACTTGATAAATAAAGTTATTCAAATTTAAATTTCTACCTGTGTGCGCGTACATTTCTGCAGTGAAATGTTTAAAAAAAAAAAAAGCTCAATCCCATCGTTCGATATTATTTTCAACAGTATTGAATTCTGTCAATCAATGCAGTGTGAATAGAAACCGTAATTTATTTACGAAATAGAATTAGAAGCAGTAGAATTTACGAAATGCAGTTCACTGGACTTGGAATTAAATTAGCCCGTGGTTAGTTTCTGTTACGAGGTTAAAAGTTGAAGCACGTCTGGGGGTAGGGTTAGATGAGAGTTCAAGAGACCGATTTAGAGAGTTACGATAACCACGAGGCGTTGTACGAGGCGCGACAAAGAGTTTTTCGAGTCATCCCTGACGACGTACACGATCTCAGTCCTGCGTTTATTCTTCCATTAACCACTCGTGCCCCTATCTCTATCCGATCGCGTCGCTTTCGTTTTCGTTACCCGACGTAGCGCCTCGCTGTATTCTCCCCTTGACCGTTTTAATCCCGCGACAGTTTCGCGCGCAACCGTCCTTGTTTTGTTTTTCTTTCTGTCTTCTTCGCAACGTTCCATCCCCCATGGAAACACTGAAATTTTCCTTCCACCTCGAACACCAGCCTCGCAAACAGAACAAAAAAAAAAAAAAAGAGAAAAAAAATATGAGGAAAAGAAGGGCACGCGGGAAAAATGTGGAACAATGTGAAAGATAATCGCGTTCTTTCGCTGTCGTGATCGCGACGAATATTTCACGCGTTGCATTCTGGAGGCAGCGGGCGTTTTTAATGCCCGTACCTACGTGCACCGCTGCCTGTGTTCAACAGATAGATAAACCGCGTACTTTCAGCGAACGCCGACGCGCCGAGTAAATCGGAGTGTTTCATCGATATAAATCTGTTTATTCGGAGGATGAGAGACACGTCGGATAGAATAGTCCGTACGCGCTGCACTGTCTCATTTTTAACCAAAGTATCGTCGCGTAATCCCGTTAATCCATTCGTACGTGTCACGTCGCATTGTTCCGTCCGATACTCGGCGGCTATCGTAATTCATGCACGATCTTCTCGATCGTGCAACGCGTACGTATTTATGTACGTAATATACATACGTATCTATAAATTGCAACGGTAATCGAAAATTCAGCCGCGAGAATCGCTTCCACGTTCTTCCACGCTCGTTCCCACGTGCCGACTCACGCCACTCATCCGCATATCGCGCCACTGTTTGCGGTTCTAATGAACGCACTCGCGTGTGTCTGTATGTGCTCCACGCCAGGACTTCACGCTGGATTTTTACTTCCGGCAATTCTGGACGGACCCACGGCTCGCGTTCAAGAAACGTACAGGCGTCGAGACGCTCAGCGTCGGCTCGGAGTTCATAAAGAACATCTGGGTGCCCGACACGTTCTTCGTCAACGAGAAGCAGTCGTACTTTCACATCGCTACCACCAGCAACGAGTTCATTCGTATTCATCACTCGGGAAGCATCACACGTAGTATACGGTGAGTGTCGATTATTACTCGATAACCTTTTCAATCGTTTAGCATTTAAGAAACTTATCAGTAGAACAGCGAGAAGTGTTCTAATTTAACACTAGATTTCGTAAGGAAGTCATTTTGACTGCTTTTGGG